TTGTCCACCTCCATCACTCCTTCACTCTGCTCCAGAGGGAATGTATCGAATGAACCTGCCATGGGCAAGAGTGCTGTTGAATTACTCCACATGCGGATGGATCTTTTTGACTTGATAACAAAGGGAGTTAAAGTCTTGGGCTTCTGAAAGCTTGGCTTGGAGAAACCAAGCACAGTGTCAGCAAAACACAAATGGTCAATAAATGTTTGTGGAATGAATGTTTATGTCTCTTGGGACTCTCTTTTCGGCTTGCCTTTTTGGGATTACACATCTTCCGTTTGGCTGGCCCTGTAGGATGGGTCTCAGACTGCTTTCCACGATGGATGTCTCTTTGCTAAAAGGAACCAGATGTGGCCCAGGGGAGAAGAGGCCACTTTGACCTATTTACTGAGGTCAAAAGCCTCTTCTCAAATCCGTGTGTTCTGGCATAATTTACGACGTATGGGTTCCTAAAAGTGAGGGTTGGTTTGTTGTCTATTTTTTTTTTTTTTTTTTTTTTGGATTTCCAGAAGATTTTGTGATTCAGGCAAAGGCTGACTGTTACTTCACCAATGGGACAGAGAAGGTGCAGTTTGTGGTGAGATTCATTTTTAACTTGGAAGAGTATGCACGTTTCGACAGCGATGTGGGAATGTTTGTGGCATTGACAGAGCTGGGGAAGCCTGATGCTGAGCTGTGGAACAATCGGCCGGATATATTGGAGAGGAGTAAAGCTTCTGTGGATACACTCTGCAGACATAACTACAAGCTGGGTGCACCCTTCACTGTGGGGAGAAAAGGTGAGGTGGAAGGTGAGGTCTTGTGAGGTTCAGGAATCTCCTACATGTGAACGTGACCATGGGCTTTACTTCCTCATGATGGGCAATTTCTTACTTCAGGATAAATGGCTTGTAAGCAGGGGAGTCTGTATATGTTCTGTCCCTAGTTGTGATTCATTAATTATCCTTACAGGTCAGGTCACTGTGGTCTTGGTCCCAGACCCCCCAAATTCTCAAAGACTTTAAGGACTAGTGGGCTCTCAAATAAAGGGGGTAATTGTGGGAGTATCTGATAAGGCCTAACTCATCCTTGGGGCATTGACATACCCAGTTTCTGAATCTTGGGGGCAGAGATTTCCCCACATTTCCAGTTTCCACCTGGGTGATGTGAGAAGATTAGGGGAAGAGATTGTCTTTCAAGGAACCCTTGTCCTGGCTTAGTGGTTTTCCTTCACAAGGTCTCATGTTTTTCTCTCTTCCCAGTGCAACCAGAGGTGGCGGTGTATCCAGAGAGGACCCCATCCCTGCAACACCACAATCTGCTGCTTTGCTCTGTGACAGGTTTCTATCCAGGGGACATCAAGATCACGTGGTTCCGGAATGGGCAGCAGGAGAGAGTAGGGGTCATGTCCACTGGCCTTATCAGGAATGGAGACTGGACCTTTCAGACAATGGTGATGCTGGAAATGACTCCTGAACTTGGAGATGTCTACACCTGCCTTGTTAATCATCCCAGCCTGCTGAGCCCTATTTCTGTGGAGTGGAGTGAGAATCAGCTTCTTGTACTCTCTGGGCCTGACTCAGGTTGATGCTGACTCAGCACACGGCCTGCGTTATCTCTGCATTCATCTTGGTCCCGCTAGTCATTCTTCTTTCCCCTGATCCGAGGGGTCATGGAATTCGGGTCCTTGGGTTAGGGTGGGAGAAGACACGACAGATATCTATCCTTGTATCTGCCAAGAAATAAGGAGGTCTAATCACCTCATCACTTATTTCCGACTTTGGGAACGAGTATACTCTGATAATTTGTCTTAGTATTTTAGGGGGCATTCTTACGGGCTGCAAGATTCAGTAACAGAAACTCCATGGGTGCAAACCTTGGCTTCAAAGAACCATATCTAAATGTATTTCTTCTCTAGATAGCACTTGATCTGCTGTCCAGAATGGACTCTGAGATTTCAGGAAGGCACACCAAACATTGGGAGCTTTTTACTAATTTTCAGACCTGTTTCCCATAGGAGCTCAGTCTGCATATTCTTGGAGAAAGATGCTAAGTGGAATTGCAGGCTTCCTGCTTGGGCTGATCTTCCTTCTGGTGGGGACTGTCATCTGCCTCAGGGCTCAGAAAGGTAATGAGCCTTTCGGGATTCCCCTGTCACCTGCCCCGTGGCTTCTCCCACTTCCCCTAACTTCAAAGATGTGAGGCAGGGAAAGCTGATTGTACTTCTCAGAGGTCACCATGATAGTCTTTTCTGAATCCAGAAACATTTCAGGGGGTCATCAGAGCTGGAGTATTGATATTTCAGTTCGTCCCTGTCTGTCAGGATAATCACAACATTTGGTCCTAACTAGAGGCATTCTATTTCTTTCCTCTCATTCCAGGGTATGTGGAGACGCAGTTGTCTGGTGATGAGGTAATGTCTTCTTCCTTGTCTTTGGGTGGCCAATTGTTGTCCCTGTGCTTTGGCCAGAGGGAGAGGTCTTGGGGATAGGGTGTGAGGGTGGCTTTGGCTGGGTGGTGCTGGGTGCTGAGTCTCTGGAATGGGAGGGTGGAGTCCCTCCTGAAACTCTGATCACTATTCCTGCAGGTCTCAAGAGCAGTTCCCTCACCATAGCCACACTAAGGTCCCAATCAGAGCTTCTTGCCCCGGAGGCTGAAATAGTACCGAATGACTTGAGTCCAAATGACTAAGTAAAGGACTCTCATGAGGTCCATGTTCTGGAGCTACTTCCATTAGTCCTTGGAGGAGTCCTGACTTGATTCTAGAGTTCTGTTTTCTGAGATCATCTCTCATTCGTCTGCCCTTCTTCCTCCTCCTTGCCTGTGCCATTAGTCCCCATTTCCAAGGATAGTGTGCAGAAATTCCCACCAAAGCTGACTCTCACCAGCCCCAACCTGCATACTTCCTATGGTCCAGCCCTAACCTTGTGAGTTATCCTCATGTCTTCCTGTTTCCAACTGCACTCTCCACTGTCTCCAGAAGACAAATGCTCAGAGGCACTGTTTCCTTTTCACCGTTTTTTTATGACCTTTTTTATTGTAAAATAAAACTGAGGAACAGATAACCATACAAAATGTAGAATTTAATGAATTATTTAAGGTCAAGAAATAGAACTTTACCAGTCAGGGCAGGAGTCTCCCTGTGCCATTGGCCAATCAATCCCCTCTCCCTCCTCTCAAAAGTAATTATATTCTGGGAGGCCTGGGTGGCTCAGTCAGTTAAGTGTCAGGCTCTTGATTTCGGCTTGGGTCATGATCTCACGGTTCATGAGATTGAGCCCTGCATTGGGCTCTGTGCTGACAGTGCAGAGCTTGCTTGGGATTCTCTCTCCCTCTCTGTGTTCCTCCCCTGCTTGTGCTCTCTCTCTTTCTCTCTCAAAATAAATAAACTTTAGAAAAAAGTAATTGCATTCTGTTAATCACTTTTTAAATTTTTTTTAACGTTTATTTATTTTTGAGAGAGAGGGAGAAACAGAGTGTGAGCAGGGAAAGGGCAGAGAGGGAGGGAGACACAGAATCTGAAGCGCAGGTTTCAGGCTCTATGCTGTCAGCACAGAGCCTGATGCAGGGCTCAAACCCAGGAATCAGGAACCATGAGATCATGACGTGAGCTGAAGTCAGACACTTAACCGACTGAGCCACCTAAGGGCTCCTTAAATATTTTT